AACCTTGCTTGGGGGAGGCAAAGGTTTCTTAGGTTACAAAAGGCACAAACCATTAAAAAAAAAAAAAAAAAAATCAAAAACTTTTTTTTAGAGTTCAAAATTTTTTAAATATCTGTTTTTCAAATAATATATTAAGAAAATGAAAAGGGGTCAAGCCAAAGACTGGGAAAAAATATTCATGACACACGTTATACATACCTAAGAAAGGACTTGTCCTCAAAATACATAAAGAATTCTTAAAACCCAATAAGACGACCCCCCCCAAAAAAATTTAAGGGACGAGGGGCAAAAGATTGTTTTTAACAGACATTACATATGACAATCAATAGCTCATGAAAGATCTTCAAAATCATTAGTCATCACAATAAATACAAGAAAAAAATACTCAACATCAGCAGGGATATGAAAATTAAAATCACACAGAGACAGCACTGCAAGCCCACAAGAATGGCTAAAATTAAAAAGACTGATAACATCAAGTGTTGGCAGAAGACATGGAACAAACAGAACAGACTGCTGGTGGGAATGCAGAATGGACCACCACTTCTGAATACAGTTTTACAGCTCCCATAGAGTGAAACACCCACCCCCCAAAAAATGATTGCACGTGTCCACACAAAATTTTGTACATAAACATTCAAAACAGCTTTACACATAGTAGCCAAAAACTAGTAACATCTATATTGCTCTTGGATCATAAACAAAATCAAAACTAAGATGACACATTATTTAAAATTAACAAAAATAAGGGGAGGAGGGTGTTCATGGCGATGTCTCCCTGGGGACAGCAGTCAAGGACAAGGACAAAAGAATCTTTTGGGATCCCGGTATAACATTCCATTTGAGGTGTTTCCATTACAGCTCTAGCCCCCCCCCCCCCCCCCCCCCCAGTTTTCCCCTCTGCTTAAGAAATGCTTAGGAACTACTTGAAGAATAAATGAATCCTGTGTCACCTTGCCAGGATTAAAGATGAGCAGACACTCTTAGCATAACTTCACTCACTCATCATGAGCCAGCTGGGAGGACAACACAAAGGACCCATGAGTATACCCAACCTCAGCCACATGGACCTCCTCATACACCACCCATGACCAGTGGAAGCATTATTGGGAAGTCTCCATTCCTGGGACAATAAAAAGGAAGACAAGAAAAGAATAGTGCCTGCAAAGTAATGAGCTACTTTCTGCCCCGAGTCCCAGTTCTGGGACCCTGTTGAGTTCTCTCTGCCCAGCACAATACAGTTTTATATGCCAAGATCAAAATAAAGATGAGAACATCTGAATTATTTTTCTCAACCCCATCTTTTAAAAATTCCTCTGTGAAACACTGATAGAAGATGTGAAGCCCAATCAGAAATTCATTGCCTGGGAATTTGTCAGGAAGTTGTTCTAAGAATTAATGCATGTGGTCTAATGTATCCATAATTAACAATCTTGGACTTCTACACATTTATTGTTGCAAGAAATGTACACACACAAATGGATGTGGTCCAAGTTTCACATGTGGCCCAAATTAAGCATATAAGCATTGTTCCTTCGGAAAAAAAATTGCAGGGGAAAAAAAAAAAATCTAGAGACAGCAACTAAACCAACCTCAACTCCCAGCTGGCTTCATTATCCTCTTGTCCTCAATGTAATAAAAACTTCCAGGATTTATACCCAAACAATTGGGGGAAAACTTGTTCTGAATAAATTTTAAAGTACTTACCTACTTAAATCAAGCCAGCCCGATGCATTATTTTATAATGAGTACAAACTGTTAAGCCCTCACTCGTTGAGGACGTTAACACCTAGGTAAAGGGTGGAAGCTCACCTATTGTGTGTGTGAGATAGCGTTTTAGAATGTGTGAATCTCACAGCAGTGAGTAGAGCGCAGAGCATGTGGTCACTTCTGGTGACTCTGCTTGGCCAGGCCTCTGCCCCTGCCTCTGCCCCTCCTTCTCTCTCTCCTTCTCTGGTCCAGTGACACTCAGACATTCCTCACCAGCACAACACTCCTTTGGCCTCGAGACCTCTGCACATGCCGGTCCCGCAGCCGGTCCCGCTGGCCTCAGGAAACAGTTCTTCCTACTAGCACCACCTCCAGGGAAAGAGCTGAGTGGTAGGATCGGCGAGTTCTTCCACGGCACAGGACTTACCTGGAACAGCAATCCTCTTGACACCTAGAAAATATAACTGAGTCGCTCCAAGGAAAAGCGCTTTAAGTAAGTGCTACCGACATACTTTGGGAAACTTGCCTGTGCGGCCCTGCTCTTCCGTGCACAGCTCGCAGGGGCCTGTTCTCTCCACGTGCACGCGTGCAGTTCAAGCCGCTGCTGAAACGGTTCCAACAACTGACTGTGCCAGGAACTGCACCGCTGCCCACCACCCTCGCCCCAGGAGTGCACAGGGCCACTGCTTGCCCCCAAACGCTGCCCCCCTCTGTGGGCCCCACAAGGTACAAGCACCCCTGAAGCAGGCCCAGGGCGGTGTCCTAAGGGTTGCAGATGAAAGTCCCTCCAGGATTCTAGAGGACAGATGGCGTCCCCAGAGCTCCAAGTCCGTGTTCAGAGGCAGTGAGAATTTACTATTAGGGATCTAGTTAAACCTAGACAGCGTCTGGGCACTCCAAACCTGTGGCTTGGATGAGGGGTTTCTGGGGACTGCCCTGGGCACAAACCACAATGAATGAGACGATTTCAATGGAAAATGTCCAATGGACAAACATTTGAAGTGTGATACTGTGATTCCACAGACAAGCTGCACCAACACTTGTGAAGTCGACTCTTCATAGTCCTAGTGGAGACCTGGGTCAGCTGTTTGCATTTCAGCCAAAGGGACACCCAGGAATGGATTAAAAAGGCAGCTTAATACATCCTGCTTTAGTGGTATTTCATCGAACTTTTCATACTAGATGTTTCTTAAAATGATCTGTTCATATTCCCATTCTTGAAATGTGTGCCAGTGTTGAGGAACTTTTAGCCAGTGTTAACTGAAAAAAGTACACAGATTTATCTCACACACACCCCCAAAGAAAAGGTCTTAAATATTTAGGCCAAGGTATTCATTTAAAATAGAAACAAATAAGAAGTTCATTTGGCAGGTATTGGTTGAAACTAGAGATCACACATGGCTCTGGAGAAGTCTCACTGTGAAGCCACAGAGCAGTAACAGACAAAGGGAAAAATGTGTACAAGCCCTCTGAACTGACTAGGGTATTTGCTGTCCTAAGAAAAAGTAAACACACCCACTTTAAGATAATCTCAGCCCACAGAGGACACATTTATCATGCTAACCATGCATCAGGCACTCTTATGTGTGCTAAGTTATGCCCACCTATGACCGTAGAGAGAAGTATTTAAAGACACGAAGGCCATTTTCTACTAGTGGAGAGGCTGTGTTGTACCTGGAGATGAGGCTAGCCAATGCAGATTCAAGATGCTGTGGTGACTAAACTAAAGCAAAAGTAAGCCCCCCTTCTCCCCAACCACACGGTGTGGTTCTGCCCTTGGGGCCAAGTTTAACCTTAACTATTAAGAAATACATTCCAATTTGCTAACAAGAGCAAGACTTGGACACCACTAGCCCAGCTGGGTTAATTTCGTAGAGATAAGGGTTGGTCACAGCAGCCATTATTCAAACCTTCTTACAGTGTCAGCCTCAGCCCGACCCTGCCTAAGTTGCAGCCCTTTTCTCTGTGTTAAGTTCATTAGCTGAGTAACTATGTATCTCAGGCGCCTAACTGGCCTAAAAACGAATGTGTGGTCAGCTCACTCGCGCAGCCCTCCCCCCTTCCAAATAAAGGGAAAAGAAAGCCCAGGGGTCTTTCCGAAGAGTTTCCATTGTGAGCTCAGCCTCCCTCTCCTTAGGAAAATAATTTCTGCAAGTTCTGAACCAGGGTTGGGGGTGCTCATAAGACCATCTCTGATTCAAAGAAAGAATAAGAACCCTATACACCCCCACCACAAACGAAGTTCGGCTCAAAGTGGCCTCAACTTCACTTAATTCTGAGAAGTAACTTGCTAGTGCCAAAGGGAACTGGGCCGTTCGCGAGTCTCGCTGAACTTTCCATCCAGCTTTCTTTATAACAAAGGGATGGGGGGAGGGAGCTGGATTTTCCAGCACCTAAAACAGTCCAGAGAAGGGTGGTCAGAAAATTCTCGGCACAGACAGTTCCCCAGCCCTGGGACCACTCGCCGTCGCAGAAAACGACAAGCCCTCGATGGGAGTACCGATTACACAATCATGGTTCCCAGAGCAAAAGACTCCACTAGAATAATCCGCACGAGACAATGACATCATGTGAGCAACTAGACAGGAAGTTAGGCTCGAAGAAGTGAAGGGTGAACCCTTGAAAGCCAATACAGTATGACCACCCCCAATCCCTCCACCCGAAAAAAGAAGTCACCCACTTTCTGTGGAAATGCTAAAGAAAAAAAATGGAAAACCCACATGGAGGAAATCAATCGGCAAATGAAACCAAAACCCCAACTCCAAGGCCATTTGTGTGGATGAGCCTTTCCCCACGAAGGGGCCTCTGCAAGCCCCGCTGGTGGAACTTTGAGGAACGTGGAGTGGGAACAAAGCAGAGCTGTAGTTCCTGCGTCCTCCAACTTTCGCAGGCGCTCCGCGGCGAGAGGGCAGGCGCTGGGCACGAGAGTGCCCGCAGTGTGTCACCCGGACGGGTCGCGGAGGCCGCCGCTCGCACACAAAGCAACCCGGGACTTAGTGACAGCCACAAGTGGCCGGGCAGCGGCCCCCGGGCCAGCACCAGGACTGCGGACGGCGGACGGCGCGCGCCCCGCGCCCCCGCGCCCCCGCCCGCGCGCACGACCCCTCCTTCGGGATCTCCTCCTTCACCACCACGAGGGCAACTTTCCCTCAGGGGCGGGAAGGACCCAAGGCTGGACTACAGGCGAGTCCGGGACCCCAGACCCTCCCCGAGCGCCCCCGCCCCCCACCCAGCCCTGCTGCGCGCCGGGGGCACCGCGAGCGAAGCCTGCGCCCGCGCGGGCCACCCACCTGCACAGCTCGGGGAACTCGGCGCCCTGGGCCCGCACGGCCCCCGGGGCCCAGATGAGCAGCAGCAGCTGCATCAGGAGCAGGGAGCGCAGCAGGCGGCCGGCGGGCGCGGGCCCCAGGTGGGCGCTCCGGCCGGCGGCGGTTCCCATCGCGCCGGGCCCGGGCTGCGCGGCGGGCACGGGACTAGCGGCGCGCGGCTGCCGGGGGCCGCGCCCGGGACATGGTCGCGCCGCCAGGGTGGAGGCGGAGAGGAGTGCGAGAGGAGCGGGAGCGAAGTGAGAGCCACAGAGGCGCGCGGCTCGGCTGGGCTCGGCGGCGGCTGCAGCGGCGGCCCCGGAACCGCGTCACGTGACCGCCGCCGGCACCGCCCCCGCCCCGCCCCGCTCACGTGACTCCCTTGTTCAGGTGATTCCCCGCCCGCCCGTCCGCCCGCCTGCCCGGCTCGGCCCGGGCCTGGTCACGTGAGCGCCCCACGCGCGGGGCGAGAAGCGGCGTGGCGGGTGCGCGGGCGCAGGTGTGGGCGGAAGGCTGGCCCTGGCCTCAGTTTCTCCCAGGGAACGCTCCAAGTCGCCCGTGGACGCTTCCCACCTTCCAGGAACCGTTTCCCAACCTCGCCAGACAGGGAGGGCACGTCCCCGAGGAGGGCACGTCCCCGAGGAGGGCACAGCGCCCAGCCGGGACTGCCGTCGGCGGCCGCGCTGCCCTGGAGCCCGCCTCCCTGGAGCCTGCCCGACGGAGGCGCGGCGCGGAGCCCGCACCGGGCTCCCACCCCCGGCCCGCAGCGCCTCGCCAGCTTCTCTGGGAATGGTCTTTCCCGGGCGTGCGACTCCCACAGAGAGGAAGGGCACACACGTGGGGGGCGGTGGAATCCGAGGGAGGCGCGAGTGGAACTATCAAGCGAGTGCCACGCAACCAAGTTTTATTGATTCTTCTACTCAAATATTTCGCTGAATCCGTCTCATGCGAATGTCTCGGAGCTAGGCACAGGAAAGGAAAAAGACGGACTCAATCTACCTTCTCTTACAGCAAGTGTAACATACAGGATAAGCACGAGGGTAACAGCTCATCTTGTTTAGAGCTTACTCCGTACCAGACACTGGCAGCGCCGAAAGCTTGAACCCAGAAACCCCCGAAGTGGGGGCCTTGCTGCAGATGAGGGGCGGAGGCACAGAATGTTAAGGAACTCACCCAAAGACTCTTGGAGACGTGGCAAAGCTGAAATTCAAACACACATAATCATGATTCAATAAGAGTTCAAATTTATTGAGCAGGTAATTACCTGCCATGCCACATACTGCTGCTTTTATTTAGTTCATTTGACCCTAAGGCAATCCAATAAGAACGGTATCTTTATTGCACCATTTTATGCTTAAGAAAACTGAGACACAAAGAGATTCAATGACTGTGAGGTCATGAAGCTAGTAAGTGAAAAGGCCAGGGTTTGAGCCCAAGCCAGACAGTCCCAGAGCCAGTGGCGTGGCCTCTATGCTCCCAAAGAGCAGAACAGCAAGAAAGACAGGTGATGTAGTGGCCTGAAGGGGGTGCTCAGATGTCCAACCGGGGGCATCAAGAAATGATTTGTGCCCTGGCTGGTTTGGCTCAGAGGTTAGAGCGTCGGGCCCACAGACCAGAGGGTCCCGGGTTCGGTTCCCACTAAGGGCACGTACCTCCGTTGAGGTTTGTCCCCGGCTGGGTTGGGGTTGTGTGGGTGGCAGCCAGTCAATGTGTCTCTCTCACATCCATGTTTCTCTCTCTCTCCTTCCTGCTTTATCTGAAGATAAGTGCAAAAATGTCCTCGGTTGAGGATTAAAAAAAAAGAAAAAGAAAACGATTTGTCTAGGCAGAAAAATTTTCTTCTACCCTTCTAGGGTTCTTTGGCTGGTCTCCTAATTAAATTGACATAAAACATTAATAGGAGAAAACATTTAATTTCGCCCCTATCAGAGCCCCATAAAAATATGAGACGCAGAGTTCAGGCACTTGAGGCTGATGTGCCATCCTGAGTAAGGAATGAGTCGAGTTAAGCCTGGGGCTTCGAGGGTAATTCCCAGAACCATCAGAAAAGCAGGGGTTTCATAACCAGATATTTGCCCTGAGCTGCAGGTAAGTCTTTCAGATTAAAAAGTTATCTCTGGTAATAGCTCTCTTTCTAAATCAGGCCTCTAGATCTAAATTCTCTTAGACAGTTATGAGAGAGTAAGGGTTTTTCTTAAGTCCAGGGGTTTTAATTGCCTTCAGCTCAAAATAACTCTCGTACCAAGGTAGCTCATTTGGAGTGGCACATTCTGCTCCCCCTGAGTTTCATATTTTTCCATTCTAATGTTATCACTGATACAGATAAAGATCTTCAGCGGATACTCTAACCACCAGGTGAAAAATTATTGCAAACTTGAATATTCACTTCGTCTCAAAGTATTTTTTCCTAATAAAAAGAAAATAATATCTTTACAATGGAAGGGTCTGGTAGAACCGCCTTAATCAAGTGATTTAAATCAGTACCACCAATATTTGTAAAGAACTAACACTTTTTGCTTCCTAAAGAAATGCGATGAAAATGCTGCTAAAGGATAATATTCAAAAGAGTAATTATGACTCAGATGCAGATGTGAAATGAACATGTGTCAAAGATATTATTTAACTCATTAATTAATGTAAGAATCAATCAGTAATATGTTACAACTGGTTCAAAGTAAACTCCAAAAAGAATCCAACATAGATTATAGGCAGTCAGGATGCTGAAGTTTAGTTGCCTAATAGATAGAAGATTGGTCAATATCCATAGGTCAAAAATCAACTGTATGTCTCATGGACACCATTTGTATTTCTAAAAAGAAGAATCCTAGATCATACCATCAATAGTCTACAAATTACAGAGTTGTAAAATAGCTCAAAGACAATGAAAGGCACATACACACATAGAATTAGATACCCCAGAGGGGTATCTAATGACCAGCTTTCTCTTGAAGTTACCCAATAATATATTTGGTCATTTCAAAGTCTTTCACAATTTTTACCTATAGTACAAAATACTACTTATGTGGTATTCTTGCCAACATATAAATCTAACCAGAATGAAGCAACGAAATCCAGATTGTGAAACCTTCTACTAGAAAACTGGACAATTCAGAAATGTCAGTGCTCTGGAACCCCTCACCCCCACCCCCACCGCCCAAGGAGCACAGTTCTAGATCAGCTAACAAACAGCAGGCTGAGAGCCAGCTCTGGCCGGGCAGCTGTTTTGAAAGTGTCACTGGAATACAGCCACACCCATTTGTGTATGTGCTATCTCTGTGGCTGCTTTTGTCTACAATGGCAGAATTGAGTTGCAACAGAGCCCACAGAGCATCAAGTATTTCGCCATCTGGCCCTCTACAGAAAAATTTGTAACCTCTTTTCTAGGTCAGTGGTTTGTAAAAGTGTGGTCCTTGAACCAGCAGCTTTGGCATCACCTGCCAGCTTGCTGGAAATGCCAATTCACGTGCCCCACTCTGACCTACTGATTCAAATCTTCGGAGGTGGGTGCCAGAACGTTGTAACAGGCTTTCCAGGGGATTGTCCTACACGTGAAGGTCTGAGAAACACTGTCTTGAATTAAAGGAGAAGAAAACAAGACAACAAAATGCAGCACATGACCCTTAACTGGAGCCTGGATCCCAAAAAAAGGAAGGGATAAAGGAAACTTGAGGATACTTGGGAAAACTCAGATAAAAATTGTACATTTGAAACTCTAAAGTCAAATGGTATAAGGACTAATCCTCCTGTGTTTCATTTAAATTTTGCAGCAAACCTTCAAGAAAAGAGAGACTCAGAAATGTTAGCCCCAGACCCCACGCTATGGGTTATGTTATGTTCCCTAAAAAGACGTGTTGAAGTCCTAGCCCCCATTACTTCATTATGTGACCTTATTTGAAAACACAGTCATTGCAGATTAGTTAACATTAGATTATACTAGAGTGGGGGGAGGGGGGTCAATCCAGGATGACTGGGGTCCTTAGTGGAAGTGGCGTAGAGACGCCGAGATGCACAGGGAGAAGATGGCCACGTGAGAATGGAGGCGTGGCATGTCAGCCGGGGAAAATCAGTACTGCCAGCAACACCGTGGCTGGGAGAAAGGAATAAATATTCCACAGAGCCTTCAGAGAGAGCATGGCCCTCCTGACAACCTGATTTTGGACTTCTAGCCTCCAGAACTGTGAGACAATAAGTTTCTGTTTTAACAAAGTGGTACTTGGTTACAGCAGCCCTAGATGAACACACCTCGCAACCAATAGGGCAGATCCAGGCTTGGTGTCCAGGAGCTCCAACCACTACCCCATTGTGCAGGCTCAGTCTTCTTGCATCTGACACTTGGCCTGGCTGGGGAAACACAAGCTCAGGTGACAGACCAAGAACAGACGTCCGCTGCTGCTGTGGATGTCCCTTCGTGGTGTCTGGCTGCAGGTGAAGCTGCCGGGTACCCCTGTGGAACACAGACCACCAGCTGTTAGACTGTTGGTGCTCAGACAGGTCTCAGGCGAAAGGGCGCAATGAAATTCCAGCAACTTTTCTGAATGCCCAGCTAAGAGCATAATTCCACTAAAAGACCCTCGGGGCACATTGCCATTCCTTTTGGGCATTTCTTAATTCCTACAGTGATAAGTAATATGTTTGCCCAGAAAAAAAAATATGTATAGTAAATAGTATTATCAAGTCAATGTTAAATTTCTTGACTGAGATGATGATACTGTGATTATGTACACCTTCTTCTCAGGTGACGCATGCTAAATGTAGGGTCATGATGTCGGCAACTTTCAAATGGCCCAGAGAAGAAAAGGACACGTGTAGCTAGAAAGCAGAGGCCAGGATACTAACAATGGCTGAACAGAGCTGGAGGCTGGATCCATGCTCTCGTGCCATCCCTCCAACGCTTACGGAGGTCTGACAGTTTCCAAAAGAGAGTTGGGAAAGAGAGCCCATCCTGGAAGAGACTGTTTTTGAGTGGAGCCTGGAAGGATGGGGGCCAGGGGGTATGGAGAAAGGACGCAGCAGACAGGAGAACAGGACTCAGGGAGAAACAGACAGGAGGCCCTTTTGCCTGAGTACAAACCACAGGGGAAGAGAAAGAAACTGCTTTGGCCAAATATCGTGCTAAATCCTTACAAAATATAAT